GGTGGCGTCTCCTTTGGGTGGGGACGGCGCTGGAAGCAGGTTACAGACCAGGCAGCTTCTTTCTGGGTTGCTGATTCAATTTTGAGCAGGCTTAATAATAATCGAAATAAGAATGAAGGGAGTTGTTGTCTTGTGGCTTTTCAGTGCCTTTTATGAGCGGAGGTAACTCTTAATTCAGTCCCTAATAGGCCATTCCGAGCGTCTGGGATTCCTCTGGAGGGAGGTGAGCTAGTGACTGGGCCTGGGAGGCCACACTCTGTGCTCCCCTTGAGAAGGGGTGGCATATTGCAAGGTGGTGCATGGTGGTTAGCCTAACTGCTGTTTACAGACAGGAGCTGATGTACTTTTCCCCCTCCCTGCCCTGTCCTCCCTGCTTAATCTTAGTGTAGTTAATAGCAAAATATGAGGTCTTCAGCATCAAAAACCAGTGCACTTGTCAACACAGATTTCTCTTTCTTGTGTCTGAATGGGGTAAGCTGAATGGGATCTCTGAATCCATCCAGGTGTTTTAAATAACTCTGTGGTTACCGCTTTTAATAGCGGTTGAGTTGGGGGGTTCCACCGTGTGTTGGGTATCTTCTTCCTACCTTTGCCTCTGACATTCCTTACTGTAACCTGAAAATCTTGTTTTGTTTTTCCAGTTGCAATTTCTGAGCAGTTTTGTCCGGAAGACTGTGCTCAGGTTATGACGACTAATCCCAAACCGAACAAGGCGTTAAAGGTAGGGAAGAAGGCTGAGTGGGTGATGCTGGGTGGCGGGGGAGGCTGTCACAGAACCGTGCTCCATGCGACGTCGGTTGTGCATGACTCTTTCATTCTGAGAGACTCTTACAAATGAGTGCTCATACAATTTCCCACTATCTACAGGAGAAGTTAGGGTAGAAGGATACTGATGATAACCACAAAGATGTCTAAAGTCTCTGGGATGGCATGGAGGTACCCCAGTTGCTATCCAAGAGACTTCTGACTATAGCAAGTATTGGCAGCATCCTGAAACCAGTGCTCCCAGGCCTGTCAATGAAGTACTTCTCCTCTCAGAACTGGGAGGCACTGGGAAAGGACATGTTCAGCTGGTGTCTCTCAGATCCATGAGACAGTAGATGCTTTAGACATACCAGCTTGGTGGCAGTCTGTGTATGGGTTGTACATGCATTGCCACAGTTCTTTTCCCCTGTCTTAGCATTTCATTCCAGATGTTCTGCAGTCTCTGAAAAGACAAAAGGATGATGTCTTAAAGGTTCTGCATTCAATGATCTTAAAGGTCTTTTCCAATCTAACTGATTCCATGATTCTTAAAATAATTGTGGCAGCAAACCTGCTTAAGAAAAAGGCACAAGGTCTTGGTGTCTTTCTCATGTAACTTCAGAGCCTGGCCTATGCACCAGGAAAACCAAATCAGACTCTGGTCCTGTGGTCCAGGCAGGGTTTTGTTTGCTACTTGAATAAGGAGTCTTCAGTGAAAAGCCACCAAATGCTGAGTTAAACCTTGCACATAAGTGGCTAATTCTGCTTTTGAGATGCTGCACTGGTGTCCCAGCATAATGCTGGGAAGAGGTGTCATCTTTAGCATTCAGTGTGAATTCTGGGTCCTGACAAAGGAATACGAAGAGCTTCAGTCTGCTTTTCATTTATCTCCTTAAAAATCTTACTGATGAGCTCACGCTGGGTGAGGAAGGCTCACTGCTTTCTCTGGCTTGAGAGGGTTACCCAAACCCAGATGAGAAAGCAGCACTCAGATCTCTGCAGATGTTTCAGTGGAATGTGTGCTCTCTGCAATGCTTTGGGGGTGTTTTCCAGGTAGGGCTGTCACATTGCTGAGGGGTGGCCTGTCTCTTTTCGCTGTCCAGAGCATCCATTCACGTAGGGTTGCTGCTACCCCTGTGCTGTTGGTATTTGCAGGTAAAGGAGGAGTCAGGAGAGAATGCCCCAGTGCTGAGTGATGATGAACTCGTGTCAATGTCCGTACGGGAGCTGAACCAGCACCTGAGGGGTCTCACCAAAGAGGAGGTCATCCGTCTGAAGCAGCGGAGGCGCACGCTGAAGAACCGGGGCTACGCTGCCAGCTGCCGCATCAAGCGCGTGACTCAGAAAGAGGAGCTGGAGAGGCAGCGGGTTGAGCTGCAGCAAGAGGTGGAGAAGCTGGCCAGAGAAAACAGCAGCATGAAGCTAGAGCTGGATGCCTTGCGCTCCAAGTACGAAGCACTCCAGACCTTTGCTCGTACTGTGGCGCGAGGGCCCATCACCCCGACCAAAGTTGCCACCACCAGTGTCATCACCATCGTGAAATCAGCCGAAATCTCATCCAGTTCTGTGCCGTTCTCAGCAGCGTCCTAGTGCCCTCGGTGGGGGGGAACTAGCAGCCTTTCAGAAGGGAGGGGATAAGGCTCTTATGCATTGTTCCGGAGTACTTGGTCACGTCAAGAATTGGCATTTTAACAATTCTCTTCCAAAAGTGCAAAAAATAGGAGAAGAAAAGAAAAAAAAATAAAAAGAAAGAAAACAAAAACTCCCACCCTAGACCTACAAAGGGAACTTAACTGGCTGCTTCTATCTGGACTCAGTGGCTCCATCAACCTCCTGTGTCCAGGATTTGAGCTCTGTACGCAGTACAAATAGCAAGATCTGCTTCCTCCTTCCCCCTGCATCCCCCAAGGCCCTCTCAGCCGTGGGCAGCTTTCCAGCTGTGAGAAGATACCTGAGGAGCCTCCAAAGTCTTTGTGAATGATGCTCAAGAGCCAGGAAACAGATGGACTGTAGAAATCATCATGTGAGATGAATGTATGGAAAAAAAGAGTTTCCTTTTGTGGCATCCTACTCCTTGTAAGAAAGGTCTCCCCTATCTTCCCTGCTTCCATCTGATATTATGAGGGCAGGGATATATAGGCTTTTTGGATTAGATTTCATCCTGCTATGAGTGGATGGGAGCAGGAGGACGATGGAGACTAATGCTTGGGTCTGACCACACCCATAAGGAATAACCTTTCGTTTTCAATCCATGCTGTTAAAATATGGGAAAATATATATATTTTACATATTTTAATATGCCCCATTACCTGTGTGGCCTGTAAAAACAACTACATTGCAGCCTCCTTTATTCCAAGCCCAAGTTTCCCAATAGCTCCTTCCCTGAGGTGTGCCTGTGAATTGGGTATATTTATGCAGTTTATTTCTTCCAAATGATCCGCAGTCTTGAAGTAGCAGCTGCTTTATTATTTTTTTTCTGGATTCCCTGAAGCTTATAAGGGAAGGAGACACAGTAAATGCTGTGAAGAGCAGTGTGATGGGGAGGAGAAGGGGAGATGAGGAGGAAAAATGCTGCAAGTATTACCAGGTGGAGGCAGAACTGGCTGCGAGAAGGTGGGACAGTTCTGCTGGGATCAGCACTATGAGAAGAGGTTTGTGCAGAGTTATTTCAGAGAGATGTTTTTAAAGCACTGAAGTGTAACTAGAGGGCAATAGCATTCAGACAGGAGGAGAGAACTTCCAGAGCCTCCTCTTTGACAAAAGCATTGGCAGGTTAGCAATGAACGTCCTAGCTGGAGAGCTGGGCTCGCCAGTCTTTGACCAGAGAAGGGCTGTGGGGAGGTCGGATGGGAGCTGGAAGAGTCTTTTCCTTTCCAGAGCACGTCAAGTGCTGAAGTTGGGATCCAAAGAGTACAGTGAACAACCCTCAGTGTTCAGACAACCTGTGTGAACGTGACCCTGAAACTTGACGCTTTCTCTTGCCAAGGGGTGGATTATCCCGAGAGGACAGGATGGAAAATGATGGAAAATCAGTGTGTATGTAGGGGACAGAAGAATTGGGATCGAGAAGTTGTTTGGATGGCTCTGAGCAGTGGTTTGGGAGAGGGATTTCTGGTTGGGCAATGGGCAGAAGGTGGGAAGCCGAAAGGAGCTGAAAAGATGAATGTTTCCAGGTCACTGTAAAAAACAAAATAGCTATGTTGGTGTTCATGTGTTTTGTTGTTGTTTGTTTGTTTTCCTTTTTGAAGTAGGAAAGAAAAGGGACTGTGAGTTTTGCAGGGCAGGTCAGAGACTTGTGGAACGGACGATGCCTGTTGTCACGCAGGTGAGAAGAGAATGAGATGGCTGAAGTTTAAGATGAGGAGAAAAGCTTAGAGGATATTGGCTCCAGAACAGAAAGCAAAGATCACGGAGAATTCACGAGTGTTTTGGACTGAAAGAGAATAATCAAGTGCCACCGTTGTTGCAAAGGGGACAGTGAACTGGCATCTGACACCCAGTATAATTCGTTGTTTGAGGCTTGGTCTTGCCTTGAATAGCAGTAGGTTTGTAGACATTTAGTGAAGCCCTACTTGTCTTTGGAAGAAGTTGTTAGCTTGCTTTTTCTTTTGTTATTTTTTTATTTCGTTTTTCACCTTGTCATCGGAGTCTCTGGATTTCCCAGGAGGGTCCTTTGTGAAATAGGTTAATGAAAAGAGAAACCTCAGACTTGGTTCTCGTTCAGTCCTCAACATCAACAGCCGTGACCTTACTGAGCCAGAAAGGGTGTAAGTGAAACGCTTCCCGAAGGCTCGTTACCCCTGCCAGATCCATGTGTTATGGAGGGGAGCAGGGAGTTTCCTTCAAGTGATTTTCCAACACGTAGAGTTTGGATGACACTTAGCGTTACCTCATTTCTCCTCCACTCCCTCCCAATCTCCGAACAGGCAGATCGATGTCCTGTGTATCAGTACCAGTTATTGACTCCCACAGCAGAAGCTGAGGAAGAGAAAGATGTTACTGTCATTTCCTGGTCCTCTCATGTTCTCCAGCTCACAGATGTTGGAAACTTTCCCAGACCTTACAGGTGCCTCCGAAAACAGGCAAAATGGAGACTCCTGGCACTGTTGGGGCTTTAAATGAAAACTTTAATGAAAAAGGCCAGTTGACTTGAAAATACCCAAATGCTTCCAGTCTTTCAAACAGCTCCAGAGCTCCATAACATTCCTGGCTAGATAGGAACACCCTCTGCCTGCTCTTGAACCCCCCTGCCGGGGCAATCAGACCAGGGGAATGGAGGTCGAACTTGGTTCCGTGGGGGTCTTCTTGCTGTTGGAATGAGTTGAGAAACATATCTTTACGTGGCACTTCCCTTGTGGCCAAGTATTTCTTTTATTTCCAGTTCTTGGAAGGGTGCCAAAAGCTTGTCCAAGTGATTGCTAGTTTAGTGCTGGTAGGCACTTAAAGAAAATCTCTGGTCACTCGCTAAAGAACAAGAGGCCTGGGTGTTGTTAAAGCTGTTGATACCATAGCCATGGTAGGTAATCCATATTGGATATCCATAAGGACCACGTGGAAATATTTAAAGAGAGAGAAATATATATATAAATATA